CAGCAGGTGGATCGGCAGGTATTGGCTTGTGTAATAGAAGTTAGCACTTTACCAGTAATATGTCATTTTAAATAATTGAACTGTAAAAGGATCTGCTCCTATCAAGCAGATATTTATGTTGACGTAGATATGGAAGGTAAAACCTGATCTCGGATCAGCACTTTGACTTTATAGCTGCTGTACCTTTACTCTAGATCTCTGGTTTCTCAGCCACTTCTGGTGAACGAAGTTGATTCTGAATCAGTCCTACAAGGAAACTTCCACATCTGAAGAGTGCAAGTTCACCTATTCACAGTATCTCCTAAAAGCTTCTAGATTAAGAAAGCAGTAGAGATTATCTATAGATTTGTAGTCAAGTCAAACATGCATATAAAAAGAGACAACAAATCCATCAAATGCTAATTAGCATTCAATGTAGGCTGTCGCAAACACTTCTACACACAAATTAGCTTCATTAGCACTGGTAAATAACAAAAGGTGGAAAAATAATAATAATGTAAATAATGTTTTCTTGCAATTAGCTTCTATTACATTGCAGTCCACTGTGAGATGCAGTGAGTCTAGGCCTCACTGAATTAATACAGTACTTTATAGTTAAGCAGCTAATTGCAATGTTACCCAAAGTGCATTTTAGAGTCTCTAAATGCATGTCTTCAGTGACACGAGAATCACATTTTAGTACAAACACATGAGAACGTTTTGGAAGACTATACGCATAACCTCCTCAATCATGCTATCTAAGGGTAATACTCAGTGGCAGACAGAGTGGCTACATTTAAATCAACACCATCTGCTTTGCCAGCTAAAGTGGCGGCTAGAAAAAAAAACATCAAAAGTACAAAAATGCCCTATGAAGGAATGGTTTGTATGTACACTGGGTTTCACACACTACTGAAAGAGCTATGTACTGGTACAAAGTACTAATGCTGCCTTCAAATCATGTAAGAATGACCATATTTACAACATGAGCCACAACAATGTCGTAATCACCAGTGGGGGAACTTGGGATTTCCTTTAAGCACAGACTTTCTGAATTTAGAACCATGCAAACTAAAAAAAAAAAAAAAAAAAAAAAAAATTTTATGTCTTGGTTTTGGAAAATGTTGTTTGGAAAAATGTAAGGAAAAGCTGATTTAGAAAAAATATTATATGTACTGTATGTTATGTTAGGTGACTTGTCCAAACAAATATAACATATTATTAGTGCTGTCAAACGATTAATCGCAATTAATCGCATCCAAAATAAAAGTTTTTGTTTACATAATATATGTGTGTATACTGTGTATATTTATTATGTATATATAAATACAAACACATGCATGTATATATTTAAGAAACATATGTTATGTATTTACATATAAAATATATTTATATATAATATAAAATAAAATAATATAAATATATAAATCTATATACATGTAAATATTTTCAAAATATATACTGTATGTGTGTGTATTTATATATACATAATAAATATACACAGTACACATGCATATATTATGTAAACAAAAACTTTTATTTTGGATGCGATTAATTGCGATTAATCATTTGACAGCACTAATAATAATATAAAAAATATATTTAAAAAAATCCAATAAATTGATTTGTTTTATAACCCAACAGACCTGCGAAACCAAACTACCTTTCTAATTTTCTGTGGGAAAATAAAATACTGATAATTAACATTAACACAATATTATATATAAAAAAAATTTATACAGGTGGGTATATTATGAATAACATAAATGTATAATTAATACGTTTTAAATGTAAATAAGTAAATAATTTACTCTTTATGCTGTTGCACTAGCACTATTGCTTCTCGTTTTTAAAAAATGCATCTCAAACAAAATCACTTGAACATGTCGTAAATATGATTTCCTAAAGAACTTGCAGGCAGCAAGACAAATGCTTTTTTTATTTTATTACAAAGACAAATACACAAAAAACACTGCTCGCCTCTCAACCTTGGTAGATTTTTTGTCTTGAGTAGAAAAAAAGAGCAACAATCGCATTCCAAGAAAACCATCATCCCTTTGCACAGTCACAATAACAGCTATGTACAAGAGTCCAGAAAGAGCTATGTACCAGAAAGAATGCTCAGTCCGGCCCAGCATTACTGAGGTATGTTGTTCTTTAGCTCAAAGCGACTGTATACCTGTTTGGATTGATTTAACTTGTTGTACTGGTTGACAAGGTCTAACTTGCTGTGACCCAACGTCATGCGTTTCTCATCCCGCCGATGTATCCCTTTCTCCGGGCCCATCCTGTCCGACAGCATGGGTCCTGGTGGAGGAGGACCTTGCTTACTCTCCGGTTCGTTCTGAGAAAGATCTGGCCCTCCAAACGGAGAGGAATGAGTTGGAATCTTCTGGAACAAGTGGGAGTCCTTTTCTTTTGAGCTGAACAGATCAGTGAACTTACTAATGAACGGGGTGGGAAGTCGATATTTGGAGGTGACCTTGTTGTCGGTTGGAGATTGTTGAGTTGGTGATGGAGGTTTTGGAGAACTGTAGAGACCTAAAGTCTGGATTTTGGATGTCTGTCCGGGAATGTTTGAGCGTAGGTAATCCGTCGCTCCTATTTTGGACCATTCCACACCAGCGGATTGACCCAAGGATGTTTGCTCGACCGCCTGACTCCCATTCGGAGAACCTCTTCTGATGTGAGATCCTGAGGGCTTCTGAAGCACTGGACTCGTGACGCCCTTCCTGTCAGGAGGCTTTTGAGAGTTTTCGGGGTTCTTCTTGTCTGACGTGACTTTAATAGGTCTCATGCCTGGAGGAGCTGCTTTGATGCTGGAAACGCTGCCACTGGATTGGCTACTGGAGTGCTCCGAATACACTCGCTCCCTGCTGCCGTAGTCTGCAAGAAAGTCCAAGCCCAAGTTTGGTACCGGCATGTGGTAAGAGTAACTGGGCAGCCCTTCTTCATCTGGATTGTAGAAACGGTCTATTATTTGGGAATCTGCATACATGCAGCGGAACTCGCGATCAAAGCAGTCTGTAACGTGGCCGGAGAAGTGCATTAGCATGTTGCTGTGAACCATGCCTGAAAGCCATGTAAAACTAGAGGGAAGAAGAGAAATGTCGTTTTTGAAGCATAACCTAAAATATTTCATGGAAAACTGCATAATTTACAAGAAGATACGATTCTTAAAAAATATCCCATCTATAAAAAAAGGAATCATTCATGAAATATGAGCAGAACAAGTTTTTGTATAATCGATCATAAAACCATTCTTGCATAAATCATTGCATTGTCGCACAGAAATTTATTCCATTTTATTTCATTTTGAAATGTAACCTAAAGATTTTCTTGGAAAAATTCCATAATTTACAGACAATTTGACAGACTATAAAACAGAATATAAAATGCCACATCAATACAAATGGATTCACTCATGAAACATGAGCAGAACACGTTTCTGAAAAACATTCTTGCATAAACCGTTGCATAGAAATACGTTCTGCTCGGGTTTCATAAATGAGGTTCAAAGATTCTGTCCAGCCAGTTTTATGGATGGTTCAGGTGACTTACGCTAACAAGTGTTTAACTATGTTCAAGCTAACCATCTGTTTATTACTCAAATGTCTTGCATAATATCGAAGTAAAAGAGCATGTGATAAGCTTTACATTAGATCATCACTGTCTTTTCCGGTTTGTAGGTTAACCCTATAAAGTCTACAGTGACATATTTGATATATACATTTCTAGAGCTTGTAAATGAACAACATGATCAAAACTTTGCTGTACACAATCTACTACATGCCTTCTGTTGCCTGATTGATAGTTCATACTTTTTTTATCACGTAAAAAGCCTTTTAGTACATTATAAAAATGTTTACCTTTAGGTTGTGGTCTTTTCCCTTTAAAGACCTTTAAAGATTATTTTTTATAAAGTAAACATGAATACATTTTATATTGTTTGATTTACTTGATTTTCCATACATAATTTTTAGAAAACCATGAAAATCATCAGGCCGTTGAGGAATGCTTATTTGTTCATCTCTCAATCATCATTGTATTGCACTGCATTAAATGTTTTGAAAGTACAGAGCATTAAATATCATCTTACCAAGACATATTATTGAGAGATATATATTTATATGGATTTTATGTAAGTAGTCTGCTACACGGTTATAAAGATCTCACTGATTTGCATTACAAGCTGAATTTTATCTTATTTTTTGGTCATATACATAAATATCAGCAACTGCACAATATTGCATAGTTTGGGTGTTTTTTCCTCTTCAAGCATGAAACACGTTTTCTACTATATCATAAATGAGCCATAAAAGCCTGATGTATCAAATATGATACTCAACAATAAAACACATATGCAAACTTTTCCCCCCAGAATTTTACAACTTTATCAAAAGGTTCAATAAACCGTTTCATTTCAAAAAACTAAAACTATTATTTCATATGTCAGGCTTTACAGGGTTAAAAGAGCACAAAAGACAGAACACTATCCCAGCATGTATCAATCTCAGTTAATCATTTCCTTCCTGGTGAAAAAGATCTAAACAGTCTAATCTTAAATTGTTAGTAATACGTTTGCAATCAATTTCCCTTTGAACTGTATGGACTTCTAGTCAAACAAAACTCCCTGTTGTCTATTATGTGGGCAAAGCCTTTAACACATGAGTGTGGCCTCACCCACTATCCACACTACTGTGAGCTAACACGCATGAGTTTATCCACGGGCCACTATCAGTCTCACCAACCCTGAAATAACAAGACAACTCCTTCACAAACTCATTCCTCCTAATCATTCCTAATAATCATAACTGAGGAGCAGATTAGCCTGCAAGACTGAGATCATTTGTTGGGTCTAAACAAGCATAATTGTTAACAATCAACATATTGCCTGCATAATTAATCAGTTTAACTAAAAAAAAAAATCCATCAAATTAGCCACCACTGAAAGCTGACAGCCACGACGGTGCTGAGGCTAATGCTAATGCTCAGGAAACACGGTCTGAGAAATGCAGAATCATCATGTTTTCATTGCTAAGCTGTTCAAGTCTACAGATGTCTGCTGGAGCGCATGAGGTGCATGTCCCGTCATCTTCCTGCCAAAACGCTGCCTTGCGCTAAAATGATTTACATAATACAGAGTGATATGAGTGGCATGAGATAAGCCTGGACTGATGGGTATTTCAACATGAATAATTTAAAGCAACTGAATTCCTCCTGTCAAAAATATGTTGCTTCTAGCGTAGTTGGCTTTGAAAAACTTGCTGTGACATGCTACACAAACATACTGGTTAGAAGGTACAGCATGTCTGAGAGTGTGTTAATATTATTAACTAAAACTATTAAAAACAGCTATATTGAAACAAAGCTAAAATGAAATCTAAATATTAGATAATAATCGGAAACATTGTCTTAGCAGCTAACTGAAATATGTTTAAGGTTGAAGCACTCAATGTAAAAAAAAAACAAATCTGTAAAAACAGGCCACAATGTACTGTGTTAATATGACTTTTCCATTTTTATTTTTTTACAGGTGTTTTTCCTGTATTTTGAATTTAGAAATGTGTTTTAGGGTAAACAGAAATGTCAGTGAAATTACTGGATAATGTCCAGGCAGAAAATCACCAGTTTTTTTTTTACAGTGTAGAAATACTTAAATTGGAAAATGGAAGTAAGTAAACACTCTAAAAAATGCTGGGTTGTTTCAACCCAACTTTGGGTCAAATATGGACTAACCCAACTTTTGGGTTAAAAATTTAATGTAAAAATGTAACCCAACGGTTGGGTTAGTCCATATTTGACCCAAAGTTAGGTTGAAACAACCCAGCATTTTTTAGAGTGAACCATTAAAACTGAACTAAAACGGAAATTAAAGTAAATTAAACCTAAATATATTAAAAAACTAACTAATAAAAAGCACACCCAACTGAAAAATAAAAAATGAACAAATTAAAATGAAATCTAAAAACATTTAAAATACAAACTAATAGTATATAAATAGAATAAAACACTGGTCTGGCACTTTCATGTACTAACCTATTGATTTATAAAGTTATCAAATCAATGGTACAGCCCTTTATAGATTTAACGTGGTAACCAGTCAACAATTTTAACACTATGTTAAAACTTGGTCATCATTTAAGCAAAATGCTTCTTAAAGCACCATCATTTAAAGGATGTCATTAAATTACTAAGATTTACAATAGTAAACATAACTCCAGTAATTATGCTATTTTGGTAAAAAATTATGATTACATAACAGGATTTTTTAAACTAAATTATACAATGCACAAACAACAAGATTAACATACCTATATGATCCAGCTATGACTTCCTCACAGTCAATGATCATGAATTTTTCTTGAACCTGACCTGTGAATTTTTTCCCACTTTTGGTGCAATACGTGTCTCCACACACACTTCTTATCCGCATATTCTGAAACAAAGCAGCATTCAATAAATGTTAATTAATCGTTTGGTTAAAAACACAGAGTATATTTTTAATACAATTAGAATCCGAGTTCTGGACTGGTACACAAATATTAATATTAGCAGCAGAATAAAAAGCGGTTTTGTTTTGACAAAAATGCTTTTGAAATGTGTGCTCATTAATTTTGACATTTGCTTTTGATGTAAATGACCTAAACTTACACAAGAATTATGTTTTGTTGTTGACTGACAGGTGTATTCACATACAAATCTGAGAACACCCATCTTATTGAACACTTTCTTAAGACTTATTATGTGTGAGGATAAGAACTTGTGAGCTGGACCACACCATTTTATGAAAGCACCAGCATCTGACTTACACTCAAGTGTGAATTCTGGACGTCCAGTTCTGAGCACATGTTCAAAAAATAGCTGAGATTCTTCTCGTCCAGTAGAACATACACTGGAACCCGGCGCTTGTTGGATGCCTCCATTAGATCACAGAACAAGTCGACGTCTGTAAAAATATCCATGACTATAGCGATAACCTGTGGTGTAAAATACATGCATTCAAATAAACCACAAACTGTAAACATTGATCATTAATTACTTTATTGCTTTCAGGTGATCATTTCATGATAATTATCAAGCAATTCAGTTGTTTGTACACTCTAAAAAATGCTGGGTTAAAAAGGGACAAACCCAGGGCTGGGTTAAAAAGGGACAAACCCAGCTATTGGGCTAAAAAGGGACAAACCCAGCTATTGGGCTAAAAAGGGACAAACCCAGCTGGCCAGCCCAGCTCCAACAGTGGCGGCTCCTCGTCGGACATCATGGGGAAATAAGTCCCTGAAGTGAGCTCGGACACCGTGTCCCCTTCCTCTACGTCCACTCCATTAGTACTGCTATCCTCAACGCCACTTTTGGCCACATTGTCGGTGATATAGCGTATTTCCAGCGAGGAAAGAAAGTTCACTTCTCTTTCGTCATGCAAGACCTTTTTATACTCCTTCTCTCCGTGTTCCAGGAGCGCGTCGGTGGCGAGCCGAGCGGTTTCATTGTGGCTGAGCTCGAGCGTTGATCCTTGTCTCCAGGGGTTCTTCACCTCCTCCAGCCTGCTGGCGAGCTTCCCGAGCGCTTTACGCGCAGGGTTCGGCGTCGGACGCAAAACCTCTGAACTGATCATTTCTACGACTGACGTTTGTCCAAGTAATCTTCAAAGTTTTACAAAAGCTCAAGCAAGCATTCGGTTATTAAAGCAGGTGTATTCCAAAGCTGACCTTGTTTTGTGTCATGGTAGTTGGAGTGCGTTATTCCAAGAGGCCTCTCCGAGTATTGTTGTGAGCTGCTGGGAAACTCAACGCTGCGCTCCACCTGCGCGCTCACCTGCCCTGATCATCCAACTGCTCCGCCTCCTCTGACGTCATGTGGAAAGAAACCTATGGCAGGCCATCTTAACATATACTTGATGGAAAAACGCAAACCAAAAATAGAATTAATTATTAATGGTATATGAGATATATAATATATGAACACTAATATTATTAACATTATTATCATTAAAAGTACTAATTATTATACATATGATTATAAATAAAATAAAAGATAAAACAAATGAACACAGCACAAAACAAGAATTAAATCAATATTATTAATAAGTATATGAGATATATAATATATGAACACTAATATTATTAACATTATTATCATTAAAAGTACTAATTATTATACATATGATTATAAATAAAATAAAAGATAAAACAAATGAACACAGCACAAAACAAGAATTAAATCAATATTATTAATAATGTTTATTTATGAAATATATATGAACACTAATATTATTAACATTATTATCATTAAAAATACTAATTTGTATACATGTTATTATAAATAAAATAAAAGATAAAACAAATAAACACATCACAAAACAAGAAAATTATTATTATTATTATTAACAACAAAAACAATTATCATTATCATTCTAAATAAAATAAATCAAAGGAAAATAACTAGAATAGAATTAAATAATATTATTAATGTACTTGTATAATTAGTAAAAAAATAAACATTACAAATATTAACTATTATGCATATTAAATAAAAATAAAAGCTAAAACAAAGGAAAAAACACCAGAATATAATTAAATAAATAGCATTATTGTTGTTTATTTAACTGTCAAATACACAACAATACCATTATTATTAATAACAAAAACAATCATTATTATTATGCATATTATTACAACTAAAAATAAGATCAAACAAATGAAAACAGCACAAAACAGAATATAATTAAATAAATATTAGTAATGCTTATTTTTAAATAGTGAACAAATAATTAACATTAATAATAATATTGACAAATATTATTATTCTTATATAAAATAATGATCAATCAAAAATAAAATACACACATTTGAAGATAAATATACAAATATCAGAAGCCTGTCTTAGGGATTCAACAAGATAAATTGGATACTTTTTAATAAATGTTAACTTGGCTTGCCATACAAAACCAAGCAGAGGAAGCTGTGCTTCAAACAATTGTGTCAAAAGACAAACAATCTAGTGTACTCAACTTGGCACCCATCACACTGTGGAATGGATAAAGATATTAAGACACAAAGATAGATTCAAATTACAGTAGACTTTATTACTGCAGATCGTTTATCAATAACTTGGCCAAAGTCAAGAAAAAGTACCATGGAAAATTTAGATAATAAGTAATAATACTTTTGATTGCTTGACGTTTGAGTCATTTGGTTATAGTTCTTTAATCTGGACAACAGTAACTGGAGTTTAGGACAAAAACGACTTCATGTGATCTCTCGATATGGTGGTTCTGCTTTTGTGAAGCATGTCTGCCTTATTTGAATGGTAAATATAAAGGATGTCACTTGTTCAATTCATTTACATGACTGATGTGTGGAGATGATCACGGAGCGAAAAACGACACAGTAAGCAGACATACTCGAAGGGCTGGTCTTTGCAGGATCCTAACTATGTGCAACAGTTTTAGAGCAAACACTTCACAAACATCATACAGAGACAGAACGGTGTTGTATTATACTTCTCAACTCTCTTCTAAATGACACCATTGTTGTTTTTTCGTCTCTATTGTCCAGCAGTGAGATATTTTTGGGTCTTCCTGTCTTTCTAAGGTAGCAGCCACCCTGAGGCTCGGCCGGCTGTGTGAATCATAATTTTTCCATGACATACAGTAAAAGGGAAACAGACGCAAGCCAACAGTCAAACAGCATTTTCTTTGTTCAAAGTACTGAATGGATATTTTAAACTCTCAGCTGAAGCTGTTATAGTTGCAGAAAACATTCACACAAATGTACAGCTTTTCCACAGCTTTATAGCCTATCATCCAGACGTCTCATACGGCACAATCTTGTGCTTGTCGTGAGTCACAGGGAGCTCTGAATAATGCTTTTACTGTATTGGTGACAGTACGCTGGACTATCTGTCCAGGCTTTGATGATGAAGGGCAAAATTTGAATTTTTGTTCATGAATAAAACAAGAGAAGTGTTCAGGCAGAGAAATATTGCCCTTTTGTGAGTTAAACAATGGGATCCAAAAACATGGGACCACTTTGGGAGAGCATTTCTAATGTAATACAAAATGTTTAATTGAATTATATTTGAGTGAAAAGTAAAATAATTAGAATTTTGAGAATTTGTTCAGTATTTAAGTTTAGTTTTTTCCCCACTTGTATTCAGCAGGGAAGCATTAAACTGACCCAAAGTGACAGATATATAAAATATTACAAAATAAATGCTGTTTTTTTTTACTTCATAGTCATCAAAGAATTCTGAAAATAATGTATAAAAGTGTCCTTAAATATATTAAGCAGCACAACCTTTTTAACATTGATAATGATAAGAAATGTTTCTTGAGCAGCAAATCAGTATATTAGAATGATTTCTAAAGGATCATGTTACACTGAAGACTGGAGTAATGATGCTGAAAATTCAGCTTTGCATCACAGGAATAAATTACATTTTATAATGTAGTTAAATAGCTGTCATTTTAAATTGTAATAATATTTTACAATTTTTCTGTTTTTACTGTATTTTTTTTATCAAATAAATGCAGCATTAGTAAGCAGAAGAGACTTCTTTCAGAAACATTAAAATCTTACCAACCTCATATATATATCTTTTGGTTTTCATCACATAATTGTAAATGATTGCAGTTGCAAAACTCTTCTTGGTTTGGCCTGCAGGTCCAGGAACCAGATCCTGTTCAGTTTGTGGTCTTTCAGTGGAACATATATGTAAAACTCAACATGCCAACAAGGTAAGTTACTGAGAAAGTCAACAGCATACCAACATACAACAGCAAATTGGTTATATATCATTATATATCATTATTGGCTGGACTACTTCCTGGTAGCGCTAATCAGTATCAATTTATTTATAGCTGTATCTGTTAACAAACATAATTTACTAAACTTTCATCACTTCGTCGAGAAATGAAAACATTAAATGTTAATATGAGCAGCAATAACCGCATCATCTCTTGAGAACTGACAAAGCCGGTTTGTCCAGATACTCATGCCTATTTCACATGATAAAGGCTCCAACTGTGTCAACAGGAAAATTGATCCATCTCCAGAGAGTTTTCATTACATTCCACAGAAGTCTGCAGTCAACTATATCAGCTTAAACTTCAAATTTGATCATCGAGCATTACTATTACTGCTCATATTTAGGGTTAGGTTTGTTTTAAACCCTAGCAACCACCCAGAAACCCTTAGCAACCACATAGCAACACCCTAACAACCACCCAGAACATTGTTAGCTATGTACATTGTGGTGGAATGTTTTATTTTTCTTCACAAAATATGTTCAAAACTTTGACATTTAAAGCAAAAGTATTTTTCATGGTTGGATGGAGCCCCATACAGTTATGTGAGTAGAATTCACCATCTTAAAGTGGACAGCTGTACACATCGGTGCGCCTGAAATCGCATACTGTCTGAATAGGCACGCGAATATGAATTTACTTCGTGACCGTTAAAAAGCTATGCTGTATATAGTATGATGAATATGGATTATATGAATAAAATTCGGATGTAGGCCTACTACATCCGCCATGTTGTTACTGTCACATGACCTACCAGCGTCAGTTGTCTCCTTCAGTGCTTTCCTCGCATTTCGGCATACTGTTGTATTTTTCGCATACTATATAGCAAAGAACTTATATATACTCTTTCGGATTTCGGATGCAGCAGTGCGTTTGTTGCTGCATAAAGCAGTCTGCCCTTTTCGCAGAATTTCGTACCTGCTCGCCAAACTTGAGAAAGGAATTGGAACCTTTTGTCATACTAGGCAAAATGGTTGCCATCAAAAATGGTTTTGAAACGGATATTTAAATGTAAAAAAAAAAGTTACAGGCTACAGTCGTTTAAATTAGCTTAGTGAAAACAGTGGAACCAAAATAAAAAATTAATTAATCTTATATTAAATA